TCTGCCTCAGAGCTCGCAAGCACTGGGCTTCTGTGTACTGGGTGTGACCTCACACGTGTGTTCAGGAGCACTGCTTACACCAGCACAGAGCCCTGAGTTGCTTTAAATGGGAAAATGGGCACCTTTTCATGTTTAATGCATTTTTCTAGCGGGGTAAACTGAAGAAAAAAATGAATAGTGGGTTTCTCTGGGGAGTACACGATGGAGAATTTAATTCTTCTGAGGAGTTATGCTTTAATGATTGTAAAATGTGCACATAATTATTTTAAAAATTAAGTAACCAGCTGATCTGCACGCTGTGGAATCACAAACTCAAAGGCGAAAGGCATGGTCACACCTAACGGGTTCAGAGAGTTTGGCCACGACTCACCCCCACACACCGAGACAGCCCGGTGGCCTGGCTGAGCGGCGGCCAGGACTCCAGGGGATCCCCAATGATGCCCGGGCCCCCCACCTCCTGCCCCAGGCCAGAGAGCAGCTCTGGGCAAGATCCGCTCAATACCAGCCCCGAGGCCTGGCTGCGGCGCGCTTTCCCCCCGGGCCTGCGTGCCGCGCTGAGAACAACAGGAGCCGCGATCCGGTCTCCATCCTGCAGCTCCTAAAGAAAAGGGCCGTGACGTTTGCTGGGCCAGCCCCTTCTTCAGATTATGAAATGTGATTTATTTCCTCATCTTGAAATGATTTAGACACAAACATCCTGTTTCTTATTAATCCTCACATCCAGACCACGTACCCGCAGAGTGGAGACATCACATCTGCTCCTCCTGGTTTTTCAAAACCCCACATTGCATTTGCTTTTCTCTCCGGGGTGTTGGTGATACAATTACACTCCGGGGTCACTTCTGCTTGCGTCATGGGAAGGAACTTGACTTGGGCAAAAAGGATCCAGAACAAAAGGACAAGTTCCTGGGTGGTCCAGAGACACACACCCCCAGCCCACGCATCCCTCCTCTCCCCACACCCCCCCCCCCACTGTTACGGCCGTGGCGGCGACGCTCCTGGGCCCCGCAGATAATCCGCTCATAGCCAACGTATGCGCGTGGCCTGCCATACCAGGCCGTCACTCCCGGGCTCCAGCTCCAGCGAGGAGCCCATCCTGTCGGCCAAACACCAGTGGACCAAAATCCCTTAAGGGGCCCTTCCGGAAATCCTACATCCAGAGATGACCGCACCCTGCTCCACCCCCCTCGTCCATCTGGAAACTGTAGGTTCTTACGATCCTAAATCGCTTCCATTCCACAGCAAGATGCCATCCAAGAGCTCCCCATCCGCCCTGTTTTCCCTGCCTGAGCCACCTCCTACGCGTCCACGCTTGCCTGGACAAGGGGTGCGTGGGCCCAGCCCAGCACCTGCATCTTGGAACAAAGCCCCACACCCTCTTTTGCTAACATCAGCCCCGTGTGCCTCCTGCCGCTCACAGTCCCATTCCTGCCCTTGCACAGGGCGGGGGGAGGACCAGAGGCTTACTGCGACCTGTCCAGGGCACCCCCACGGCCCCCGGGGGGCTCCTGCTTTCATGCCGGGGTGGGGGCCAGGCCCCACCAAGATGGCCGGCCCAGGCCGGAAGTGCCTCACGGCAGCGCCCAAAGACAGCACCCGCAGGGAGTGACCAAGGCCAGCAAGACAAACAAAAAGAAACAAAACACAAGAGAGAAAGATGCTGCCTAGACCACAGCGAGACGTGCGGTCGTCAGAGCTCCAGCCACCGCCTCTCAGGACGCAGCCCAGTGTTTGCGCTTCTAAATATACCGCTGCTGAGACTAGCACCCCCGAGGCCGCGGCCAGCGCGGGCCTGCCGTCCACTCCGTCCAGCCGGTGTCTGCAAGTGACCTTTGCCTGGGCCTGCGCTGGCCAGCGGCCTCCACAGCTGCTGCCCGCCCGGCCGGCTGCTGTGCCGAGGCCAAGGCCCAGCTGAAGTCCTGAAGCCGAGCCGGCTTTTTTTTTTTCTTTTAACAGACGACCTTCTCCACTTGAAACAAAAAACAAAAAAACAAAAAAAAACTACCTTTCAGGTTTCACCGCCTCCACCACAGACGCAAGGGTGAAGCGGGGGGCGGCTGCTATTCCAGGACGGCTGTTTCTCTTTATAAATCCCAAACATTTCAACACACTTGGCTCTTGCCAGAAGGTCATTTTCTGGAATGCTGGCCTCTCCGACGTGAGTCTCTCGTGGCTCTGAAGCCGTTTCACTGTTCCTGGAATTTGCGAGAGACAGAGTCCCAAAGAGCATGGGAGGCGCCGGCCGGTGCTGCAGGAAAAGCAGAGCCCGGGACAGGGGGTGCGCCCGGCCCAGGTGCGCTAGTGCACGCCCACCTGAGCAGGCGGCGCTGGGCCGGTAAGTGCTGAGTGGAGCAGGAGGCAACCTCCTAAGGCGCTAGATGTCAAGGCTGAGAAGGGGTATCGGCCTGTAGTGCTCAGGCCGTGGGGAGGGGCAGGCAGCGTGGGACTCCAGACCCATGCTCCTCCTGACAGCAGGGGCTGGGGCGCCCGGGCCGCAGGGGGAAATGTGTGGCCACTTCTCAGCAGACGTGCCCAACACAGGTGGTCCTGGGGTCCGGTCGGGGTTCAGTGAGACTACTGGGCCCTTCTAAGGTGCAGACAGTGAAAAGAGAAGTGGGCCTGGCCCGGCAGCCGGAGTTCTGTCTCCCACAGGCCCCTGCGGCACGCTCCATGCACGCCTCGCCCAACATCTCCGTCCCCCAGCGACCGCCACCACGTCCCCAAGGTCAGCTCTGACCCTGCAGCTCTGACCCACCCGCCTTCCAGCACCCCTGCCAACACCCCCTCGGGCCACAGACTGAATCTGCGCAAGGGTGCCCTCGCCCTCCCTTTGCCCTCTCTGCTCCACCAAAAGATCATGCAATTCTTAACCTGCCGTGTGCCTTCCACTCCCCAGCCGAACCTGCCGCGTGCCTCTGATTCCCCAGCTGAAGTGTCCGGAGAAAGACACCACCAGGTCTTTCAAGGTGTGGTCAGGAGCTGCCGGGGGCCTGGTGATGGGGGCAGCCCCTGCTTTCCAGAAGCCCCTTCCTCCATCCCTGTCCGGTTACACTTCCAAGCCCACGCCCCATGGCCTGTGCTGACGGGGGATTTGTTTCCTCTTCTCCGAAGAAAGTGAAACCAGCAGAAGAAAGCCACAGAGACCCCCTGACTGAGGGGGCCCGCTACACACACCCCCATCTGCCACTTGATCTGCCCCACCTGGAGCCACCACCGCTGCTCCTGAAGCAACAGCTCCACGTGCACAAGCACGCCACCGGCGGCCCTCCGCACCCCGCTGCCCTTCCCGGCCCGGTCCACCCGGGAGGCGCAGGAGGCGTGAGCAGACGCCAGCCCCCCACTGCAGCCTGAACTGGTCGGTCCATGTTACCGACCAGACACCCCGCCCTGCTCCCCTCTGCAGAGGAGCTTCTCAAAACAGTCGTCCACAGTCTGTCTCCGCTCCCTCCCTCCATCCTCCTGCCAGACCACGCCAGGGCCACCGCCCCCCGCACGCTCCTGTTCCTGCCCCGGCGCCCACGACCACGGCCCTGGTGTCCATTCTCCGGCCCGCGGCCCTCCGGCATGGCCTCCCTGGCTCCACCTGCCCTCGGCCTCCCCGCTCCTCAGCCGGCCGCACCCTTCCCTGCGCTCTCCCTGGCGCTGCTCTCGGCGCAGCTCCCCAAGTCAGCGGACCTGGAAATGAGCCACGAGGCCTCCCGCGAGACCCGCGACACACACGAGCCGTCGCCGGGCTGAGCGCGGCACAGTTTCAGCAGCGGGACCCGGAGGCCACCGTTGCCCCACGGGGCCAAGAAACAGGCTCCAGCCACGCCCACACCACGGACGCCCCAGCCACGGGGAGATGAAACTGCGGCTGCCGGGGACAAGGGGTGGGGTGCAGCCGAGCAGGTCGGGGTGGCTGGGACACTGCGCCCTCACACAGCAGACGCTCGACAAGGGAAGCGCTCACAGAGCAGTGGACGTCCACCATCCCAGGGCCCTGGGGTACGTGGGAGGAGGGGGGGCGGGGGAGCATTGGCCGGATACGGGGATTTTAAAAATGAAAAATAACATGGAAGACACGGCTTCTTTCTCCTCCGCTTTAAACCTGCCTGGAGCTCCCGCCATGAGACACAGGCCCAGAGCCTGCAGCAGGGGCCGGGAGGGTCCTGTGCCCCCCACCACCCCACCCTGCTCTCTGCGGCCCCCTCCAGCCACTGCCACCTGCGCCTCCTCTCCTGCGCCCGGGCGGCCTGGCCAGGGCCCGCTCATGTCAGACGCCAGCTGTCCAGCCCCCACAGGGCCTTGAATCCATGTTCAAATGTTGGGAGGGCCCCGACCCCTGCCATTCATACCCCAGCCTGCCCCAAAACACAGCTGCTTCTCTTCGCCCCGCAACGGTGATGGCTTGTAACCAAATGAATAATTAACTTCTCCAGGCTGTAGACGGGACGTGGTCTATCCCTCTGTGCCCACCCCCACCCCACGGCCACTCATGCCCCCCCAAACTAGAGCAGGGGCTTGTGCCCCTGAGGTCGCTGCGTGCCTTGAGTTCGGGCAGAGCCCGGCACCAGCAGCAGCCTGACCTGGGAACCCCCGAGCAGTGAGTGAATGAATCTTACACCACTTTGATCTCCCAAACCTGCTTCCTGACCTACAAAATGCCACCTGCAGTACCAACCTCACAGTCCAGAACTATACATGATGTGAGCTACAGGTGATGCGAGATATGATGTATGATGCGTATTTCCACGCATTAGATAGACATAAGCAGGAAATGAGGACCTGGTGGAAGTCTCTGTACAGTGTTACTCACTAGCAGAGGCTACCAAGGCACGCCAAGGGTCATCCTCAGAACCACACGTGGACGCACACTAGGGGGCTGCTTATTAGGTGCAGCTTAAGCGCAACAGAAAAATCCCTCGAGGCAAGCCTCCAGTCTCCCCAAGAATGACCCTAGATTCCGCTAGGAAGACAACTGCAGGGCTTCAAGCTCCATTTTCCAAAGTCAAAGTTACCTCCGAGAACTCCTGAAGGGAGGAGGAGAGGGGCTGTCTCCCAGTTGAGTGCCGAGATCCAGGGCAGCTCTGAGCCCTCAGCTGGCTCTTCCCCGCATGGCCGGCTGCCCAAGAGTGTGAGTGGGAGGTGGCCTCCAGCACCTGGGTCCCCCCAGACCTGGGGCACTTCTGGGGAGCTGAGCAGACTCAGCAGGGTGCTCGCCCCTGGAAAAGAGAGGCACAGGTGAGCGCGGAGAACAGGTGACCAGGGCAGGCAGCAAAGTCTGCTCTGCTGACTCAGCACCGTCCCCAGCAGCGGCCTCTCACATCTCCAAGCAAGAGGAAGACGGTGGATGCAAACACATGGTCTGTCAGATGGAAGGCTCGAGATGGAGCAAAGTGCACTGGAGGAGAAACCGAGTCTGCCGGATAAGTGAGCAAATTCCACCAAGAATTAACAGATACATCCACCCACACAGACAGCTCTCAGACTGGCTCCTGGGGCTCCTTTTTGATCCCCCTTTTTCCACCCAGCCATCCAGCTCAGCCCTGAGGACATTCCTCCAGGGAGAGGCCTTAAAAAAAGGGCAAGATTTGGAAAATGTCATCCCCGAGGCAAGCACTAAGAGGACAAGGTAAACACATAAGGCAGATCTTGATGCATCCAGCTGCGCCTTATTGCGTCTCGCAGACACGCATATTTTTCACAAACAGAAGGCGTGTCCCCCTCAGGAATGCCGAGAGGCAGACGCGCCCAACAGCCCATGCGCTTTCCGTGCCTCTGCGTCTGTTATGGTGACCTGTGAACAGGGATCACTGGCCTTGCCAGTGCCATGATTTTAGGGTGCCACCACCCCCATGTAAGACAGCAAACTTAACCTATAAACACTGTGTTGTGACTGCTCCCCCACCCACCCTCCCGTGATCTCGCTCCCCCTCCTTGGGCCGCCTGTTCTCCGAGGCGCGGTCACTTTGAAATTGGCCAGTGCATCCCCTCTTGAGTGCTCGGGGGAAAGGAAGGGTCACACGTCTCTAACTTTAAGTCAAAAGCAAGACACGAGGAAGCTCGGTGAGGACGGCCGGTGGAGAGCCAGGATGGGCACAAGCCAGGCTTCTTGGGGTAGTGAGCAAAATGTGAAGGCAAAGGAAAGTTCCAGAAGGATGAGAAGTGCCACACAGCAATGATGAGAAAGTGAAACAGGCTTACTGCTGATGTGGAGAAAGTGGCTGCGGCCCGGAGAGAAGGTCAAACCAGCCACAGCCCTCCCTAGAGCCAAGGCACGTCCAGAGCGAGGCCCTGAGGCTCTTCAGTGCTCTGAAGCCTGAGCGAGGATGTGGGCTGCAGAGGAAACATACGAAGCCAGCAGAAGTGTTTCCTGAGGTTTCAGGAGAGAAACCGTCTCCTTAAGAGAATTAAAACATAGACTAATAATTACTTAATGTAAACAAAGGCAAACATGAAGGAATAATCGAGAACAGATAAGAGACCCACAGGAAGTTGGTAAATTCTACTTTATCGGGAACTATATGACACGGCTAAACACTCCAATCGAAAGATGGATAAAAACTATCTGTTGTTAGAAGAGACCCGCTTTAGAACAGCATCAGAAAGACTAAAATACTTCATAAAAGAAAAAACAGAAATTGTGCAAGGCTCGTATATTGCTATGTGCCAAAACGTGATCCAGTGAAAGACCTAAACAAACAGACACCCCGAGCTCTGGGGCTGGAAGAGCTAGTATGGTTGGCACAGCAACATTGCCCACACTCACCTGCAGATTCAGGGCAACTTCTGTTGAAAATTACTGCATTTGTTCTTGCAGAAATGGACACACTGACCCTAAAATTCACGTGGAACGCCAAGAGACAGTGAGCAGCTGAAAGGAGATTGAAAAAGAAAAGCAAAGTCGGAGGAGTCACACTTCCTTCTGCCCGGGGTGATCCTGGAAGAGGACACACAGATGGAGGCTGAGGCCTGGGTCCAGAAATGACCCTGCACGTGTTAGGCTAATTGTTTTTTGATGGGGATTTACTCATTCAATGAGTAAATGAAATGTAAATGAATGCAGGATGCTCACACACAAAACATGACACCAACAATATTCCTTTCACAAAATTAGCACAAAATGGATAATAGACTTAAATGTCATTGCTAAAATTATAAAACTCTTAAAAGAAAAAAAACAGGAATGAATCCTGGTGGCCAAAGAATAGATACTAGTTTCTCGGACCTGTCACCAAAAGCACAAATAACAAAAGAAAAATAAGATGAAGTGGGACTCCATCGAAATTTTAAAATGTTGTGAGTCAAATGACACCAATATTACAGAAAAAAGGATCCATAGAAGGGAGAAAATATTTCCTAATCATATATGGGTAACAACCTTGTATCAAGATTATAAAAACAACACTTAGAACTTAACAATGAAAAGACAAAAAAAAATAAAAATAAAAAATGGTCAAAGAATTTGAATAGCTGTTTCTCCAAAAGATATCCAGATGTCCACTAGACACATAAAAATACTCAACATGATTATATTCAATTAAGGAAATGCACATTGAAACTGTAATGACACAGCACTTCACATCCACCAGGATGGCCAGAATCAACACACAGACAATCACATGTGCAGGCAAGGGCGTGGACATATTGCAGCCTCACACTTGCTACCGGGATGGTCACCGGCTGCTTTGGGAATCAGTGTGTTACGCCTCAAAGGGAGACAGGAGTTGCCACATGCCCCAGCAATGGCACTCTGAAAACACACCCCAGAGGACGGAAAACAAATGTCCACAGGAAACTCTCTGCACAAAGGTCCGAAACAGCCCCGATGGGAGCGACGGTGCCCACAGCTGGCGAGCGTGCACCCACGCTGGCTCTCCACACCGCGGAGCAGCGGCCAGGCCAGCGAGCTGGGGCTAGCGTGCTAAGAGTAAGAGCCAGACACAGAAATCCACACACTGCATGAAAACACAGCTGCGAGATGTCCAGAGGGCAGAGCCGCAGAGATAGAAAGTGGGCTCCTGACGGGGAGACGAGGGGCGGCTGTGCGTGGCTCTGGGTTTGTGAGACTTAGAATGATGTCCGTCCTCTCTGTGAATACACCGCCCACTACTCACTACACTGTGTGCTGTAAAACGGCGAAGTGGACAGGCTGCAAGTACCTCTCCATGACGAAGCTATTGAAAACGAATTATGTCGATTGGAAAAAATAAGAGGAAGGTACGAGAACCCCACACTGGCCGCACTCCTGGCTCCGCGGCCAGGCTGAGCCCCAACACGCCTCCAAACATCCAGGCTCTGCTCAGAGCAAGCCCCTGTGTGCAGAAAAGGGGGTCCTCCCACATCCTGAACAGGTCAAGGTGCCAACCCCAGAAACAGGGAGCCAGTTTCTGCAAACCCATTCCCTGCCACCACGTGGCAATGAACTCAGGTGCTTCAAACCGAAGGCGACACAAGTCCGTCTCCTTCACGCCACGCTCTGCGCTGTCCCCCATGCAGAGAGCCAGGGAACAGAATCGCTGCCTGCGATGGAATGCACTCCTGCTTGGCTGGCCGGGCGGGGGGGGGGGGGGGCCCGGGGGTGCTTTCAACGCTGCATCATTAAAAGATCTGGAAAGAGGCCGTGGGCAGAGCTCCCTGGCAGCCCCTTCTCAGCACCCACCGTCAGGGCTCTGATGCGGCACCGGCCCCAGCAGCGCAGCAGACAGAGGGGAGCAGCACGTCTGTGGGGGCTCTGCACCCCTGTGTCACTGCCTGTGGCGGGCACCACCCTCTCGCTGCCCAGGGTACTGCTCAATCCCGCCCTGCTCAACTCAGAGGCCACGCAGACTGCGTGGCCACAGCCCCTGGCCAGGCTCGTGCCCACAGGCCCTGCTCTCACCCCAGGGCCCCACTGTCCCCTGGGCGGACGCCTGTCCTTCTGGGCACTCTCACTGAGGAGCTGGCCCCGAGGACGCTGGACAGAGCGACCGGGCCCTGGGGGACAGCAGGCACCACGTCTAGAAATAAAGCCACAGCATTACTAGGAAAAAAACTGAATTATTTATAACCCAGAAGGGTGAAAAGCTGTTCCATGCAGACCTCAAAAATCAAGGCTTCCAGGACTAGAGTCAAAATAAGGGGAGGGGGGGTGCAATTGTAGGGGGAATATAACCAAAATGAAAATGCATACATTGTGCAAAGATGAAAAAAGATGTAAGAATTATATAAAATAAAATATTTAAATTAAAAAAAAAACAGGTTCAATTTACTCCTTGGAAGCAATTAGCACTAAAGTGATCCCAGGGATTAAAAACTTAATAAAATTCATTTCTGGAGCTGAAAAAAAAAAATCAAGGCTTCCCAAGATTTGACTACATAAAAAGTGTGCTCCTGCGTGGAGGCGACGCCGGCCCGAGTGCAAGCCAGGCGCCCAGGACACAAGCAGGCCCTCCCGTCACGTGTGAGGAAGGATGTCCATTCACAAAGACACCCACGGGCATGGAGGGGCCGCGGCTCTGCCTCCCGAGGCCCCGGGGTGGGCACCGCGCTGCCCTGCCAGGCCGGCCTCGGCTGCAACGCCCCGCGCACGGGTGGCAGAGGAGGGTCAGGGCAGCGTCATTTGGGGAAGAATCTAGAAAGAGGTGAGAACAGAACCAGACCTTCGGCTGGATGTGCCGGCCCGAGCGCGCAGGCCGCCGCCGCCGGAGGAATCCGTGGGGCAGACGCTGTCCCGGCGGCGTCTTTGCGCGCAAAGATGGAAAGTCGCCCCATTCGCATCTGGAGGGACAGGTGACGGAATAACCCCGGCCGGATACCACGGAGGGGCCACGGGGCGGCACGGGTCGTGTGGGCGATGCTCGAGGCCAGCGGGGGGCCACCTGACCCCCCATCCACAAACACAACCACAGAGGCGCCCGCGAGAAAACGCCAACATCACTTGCGCCTCCGTGGAGCTCTGTGCCTCGGGCGTTCCTTACCGAACTGCTGTTCTCTTTACTTTCTGCTTTATAACTCGATGTTCTAGAAGCTGAGGCTTCGTGACACGGCCTCTGTGACCCAGGAGCCACTTACATGTTGACAGAAAAAAATTTGTTTATAACAAGAAGGTTTTTATAGGTTCAACATGTTTCAAACTCAGTTAAAACTTCACAGAAAGGGGCCTCCCTGGTGGCACAGTGGTTGAGCGCTGGGTTGGGAAGCTGCCCGCAGCCTCTGCAGCGCCGGCTCGATCCCCGGCTGCTCCCCGGCCACCGGAGGAGGGTCCCACATGGCGCGCAGACCTCTCCTGCCGCCCGCTGCTCCCCTCAGCAGTGTCCTTCGGTCCTTCTGCCTGCTCTGCTCCCCGCTCTGGCTCTGGTGAATTCTCTCACCCTCCCGCGCTTCTGACTGTACCCAGTGCTTGTGTAAATAAATGAATAATAAATAAATAAATAAATCTTTAAAAAAAAAAAAAAAAAAAACTTCACAGAAAGACTCCCAGTGCTTTGCACGCCGCTCCTGGGAGCACATCCTCAGGGCCGGGCTGGTCCCTCCTCCACCGGGAGCAGCCCGCCCAGCTTCCCCTTCCCCTCCCCCTCCTCTCCTCACAGTTTTTTCCCCTTCCCCCCACCCCTCAGCCTCTCCCCCTCTCTCTCCCTAATGAATGGACATTTAGACTCGTGCCAAGCAACACGCTCGCCGCAGAGCCGCCCACGTACCCACGACTCCCCACACGGTGCACACGCGAGGTGAACCCTCGGCTTCTCCCCGTCTCTCCGTTTCCAAAGAGAACTCTCTGAGCGGCGCTGAACTTGCAAGACAGTATTTAAAAACCCACCACGCCCGGACAGGCGCCCCGCGGCCCTGCGAGCAGGGGCGCGGCGGGGAGGCCGCTGGCTGGACATGAACAGAC